ATTTTTATGAATGCAATGATTGACGGCGGTTAACAGAAATCAAAGCTTTGCCTTAACCTTATCTACAATGCATGTTTCTTCCTATTCAATGACTAACTAACCAGTCTCCAATTCAAGTATCCATTCCTACAGAAGTTCAATCGTGAGCCCAAGTACCTCAATGGTAACGTCTCTGATTACAGTACTGGGAGACACGGATTCAAATCTCAGAAGGGACATAAGTCCCTTCAAGGTTGCAGGTAGACCTTGTTGACTGGTGAGTGCTGACATAGGCAGGAAACCTAGGTCCAAGGCATCCTGGTGATTGCCTCCAACCTCTTAAGAGATTCCTTGTTAGACCTCACAAGAAGTCTGTCAACAAAAAAATGATTCTGATCGCAAGTTTAAAGTGAACTTTAAGATTGAATGGCAGTTATTGTCATTATCTATTATACATAACTAAGCTAGACGTTGTTTGTCTATCTTAGACACAAAAATATGTCAATAATAATTCTAATAGTGGTTTCATGATACCTGAAGTTTTTGTTCTGAAATACAAGAAATGATGACCAAAGAACTTTAAGAGAACAAAAAATAAATATTCAATCTTTCACCAAAACACTACACAGGATAAAAAAACCCGGCAGAAATTTAAAAAAAAGAAATTTATATAAGGAAGAGTAGTAATAGCAACCATCCCGATCAGCCAACCAACACAATTCAATGCAGCTGACTCAAACTAGCTGGCAAAGAATTTATGGATTAATGATATGTTTTGGTTTAACACCACCGCCTCTCTAACATTTTCCCAACCCAATCCTATGATCAGCTAACATTGTGCTTATCAAGGAAGGCGCTGACTTGGTATGTGCAACACGTGTGTATGTCCTAGCCATTGTAATCAATACAGCTTGACAATCTCATCTTACCTAACCTCATTATTACTGACTGATATTATGCCACTTAACACAGAAGACTTAATGAATAATAATAATAATAATTTGCTTTATTCCAAAACAGTACATGTGATACAGAATGGAATTCTCAGCATTTTTACTGCAGTATTGCATTCAGTTAGTACATTATCAATAAATAGAATTCTACATAGATTAAGGAAATCTCAGTTCATTATGACAACAACAACATATCGGCATGTCGGTAGCAAAGCCAAAGTTGAACAGTGTTTGAAGGCGTTAGAAAAGTAGGTGCTATCACATTTACTGGCATAAGCGAGAGAAAGAAACAAAGCAGCACATAACGGAAAAAAAGAGAGAGAATAGGAAGTATTTGTCACTAGGTGGTTGGAGGCAGTCAGCAGGAAACCTCGTACCTAGGTTTCATGCTTATGTTGGCACTCGTCAATAGTAGAATGTATCTGCGATCTTGAAAAAAACTCATGTCCCTTTTGAGAGTGATACAATCACTGCTGGAGTAAGAGACATTGCCAATGAGCTATTATTCGTACTCATGATTGATCTCTCCTGTAGGACTGCAGTAATGGATGGATGCTAGTTAGCAGTAACCCATATCACATGCCTTGTTCTTCAACTGGTGTAGACGACTGAATTCTACCTATCATAGAATAAGAAGGGATAAGAGTTCCTTCAAGGTTGCATATAATACACCTTCCTGCCGATTGCCTCTAACCATCGCGATGATAAGCATAGTGGCAAAATTGCAAACTTGACTGATATGAAGTTAGTCTGCACTAAAACAAAGGACTAAGCGCACACACGCATGACACTAGTTGTTACTGACTGACTACCTAAGTATTCAATCAAAGTGAACCCATTTATCAAACATATACTACACCTTTAAACTGACTGACTGATGAAAACATTTTTATTTCAAATCTATTTAAATGTTTACGTGAAAACTTATAACATGACAAAACAATTAGATTTTTCTTTTTAAAAAACAATCAGGGTTTCTTGTCGCTGCAAAATTCCATCTCCGAAACAAAAACAATAATAATAATAATAGCAGACTCAAAGGAGAACTTGTTTGTATCAATGTACTACTACTACTACTACTACTACTACTACTATGGTGTAGTTCTTTCAAGTATCTTTCTAGATTTGAAGAAGACGTCGAATGGAATATATAGAACGTTTAACAAAACATAAATTGTTCAATAATAATAATAATAATAATGATAATAATAATAAATAATCATGATGTTACTTATGAATTAGTCTATGAGGTAGAATTTTTGTGTATACGTGTATGTATGTATGCGTGCTAGTATGTGTGGTGTCTGTATGTGCTTCTACAGCTGATGACGACACACCCTAACTAGCTATTATTCACATCAAAGCCAAATGGAGCGGTGTTTCATATGTAAATGTGAATTAAGTCACTTATAAAGCAAGAAGGAATCTTGTATAATGTAAAAACCAACAACACAACGGGTAGAGACGAGCAAACATTTCATCATGTTGTATATATATATATATATACAAATGTAGGAAAAAAACACCCCTGAGTTTTTATTTTGAATCATAATAATAATAATAATAACAATCCACCTAAATGGAATTATATAATACATGATGCCTAGGCATACTGGTGGTGTGCGCGCATGTTTATGAATTCAACATGTGTGTTTTTTCTCTCCAAAGTTATTCGAAGATTTTCTTTTAAAAAAAATAGCCGAACGAACATACAGTATATCAATGAATTGTATGTGAACAAATAAACTCAGAACAACGAACGCCCTTATAGACACACACAAACACGTATATATGCACCTATATCTATACTACTTCTGATTAACATATTCATTATGCACATATATACACACACACCCATACTCTGCATTATATACTGTACTAACTACTGTAAGATATACAATTATCTCTAAACAAATGAACAACACATGCCAACAAGCACACACACACATACACACATGACAATCAACAATAGATTAAATATACACATACACAATAATAATAATAATAAACAATTATTGACAATAATAATAATAACCATGATGATTACCAATTACACACACACACACACATACATACATTCATACGTGCGTTTATGCACTTGTCATAAACTATACACGGATGAAGATAAAGGAACCATGATGTATATATATATATATATATATATATATATATGCATAGATATGTAGGCATGAGTATGTCATAAATGATTCAAAAAAGTAGGATGTTGATCATCATTGAATGAATGAATGAATGTAGGGTGTATGCATATATATATATATATATATATATATATATATATATATATATATATATATATATGTATATATATATATATATGAATACCACTAACTCTTGTGTTCACCACTAGTAATGATAATAATAAAGGAATATGAAGGGTCTAAGCAAAAGAACAAAACAACAAAACTGACAACCAACAACTACTCATTACATAGGCATATCTTGAAGACGGAGAAGAAGAAGAGATAAAAATCAATCATTTTCAAGTTGTGAAGGGGAATATCAGTCTTCTTTTATTATATGGATATCATGATTTACTAGATATGATTGAGATTGAGATCAGCCTGAAAGATTCTATTTGTGAATAGAAATAATTATGAGGGATGGAACAATAGTGTAGAGACGTTCAATTACTACCACTACTACTGCTACTACTACGTGTCGCACAACTGTATCGCAGTTCAAATAACCATATTTTGATACAATAAGTAAATTTTATTTTATTTTGATTTACAGCTTGAGTCAAGATAAAATAGAATGGCACCTACAACAGAACTTAGCATAGACGTTTAGAATTTTCAACGACACGTAGCGCACGTCACCTAGACAAACTCTTCCCTTTTTAAACGACTCAACGTACATCTGAGATATTTCTTTACCCTTATTAAATTTAAGAACAGAAAGAGGAAGATTTGAAAAGGCTATCTGTACTCAACTACAGATGTTTACGTTCTATCTCACATGCTAGGCGGTATAATATGGTTAAAAATAGTGAGATTAGGCGTAGAGTACTAGGGAGGGAGGCTAATCGATGAGGCTGTCAAGGGGCACGTGCTACGCATTCCAAACCAACACCCTCCTTGTTGATTAATTTTAGCTGACGTAGGACTGGATTGAAAAGGCTTAAGAGTAGTCAAACGTAAACACGTCATCAACCCATGAAATCTTAGACAGTTGTTTGATACCTAGGGAGATGAAGAACGCCTGGTTGAGATCCTCGTGACTCTAAAAACCAGTGGTTGGAGGTATGGCTCAAAATTGTTTACAATGGTGATGTATCTGGACGTCGTAATCTATCCAGATACATTAAATATTCATACTTTTCTATGCTACTATTCTTTCTCCCATACATTTCTGCTTATTCTGGTTCTTTTGAATCTCTCTTTTCTATAACCTTTGTATGCTATACGGAGTATGGTATTATGGACAGCTGCACTTCTGTGCTAAGTACGCTGTAACTCAGTCGGTCAGTAGACACGAAAGGATGATGAAAGCAAAATACAAAGGAAAAGCTAGATGTTTTTAAAAAACAAAGGTACAAAAATAGCTCTTGGTTGCAAAATATAACAGGGCGTTTGTCACCAAGGTGATAGCATCGGTTAGTGCTAACCTACCTAGTTTATGAAATGCAGTCAGGCTAATTAGGCAACATACTCTTACCTAGATCTAAAAAGTGTTTTACGATATGAATATATAAGATGCTGCAAAATACACCAGTAGAAGTCAGAGATCACTTGAAGATCTGTATTTTTTCGGCAATAAATTGTGAAGACTAACACAACCTTATTTAACTGTCTACATTGAGAAACATAGCTATTTACAGAAAAAGGGAATCAGTAATCATATGCAGTTTTATGTAATACATATACATTACTAGGGGCAATTTTATATAAACGTACCAAAATTTAGGTCTACTTTTAAAAATTAATTGTTAGCAGCAGTAAGTATATGACTTGGAAGTGAATATTCTTAAGGTCTTTTGAAAAGAACTAAACAGACCGGCCTAACAACTTTTCAAAATAGTATTCACAAATTCATAATGAAACTTACTTGTTTTTCATCCAAATTTTTGTCACTGATAATGGCTGATAGTGCAGCTGGAGATAGCATAGGAGGAAATGGAGGTTGTCCAGTTGCTCCATCCAACGGGAACATTAGTGGTCTGGGATTATTTGGATTAGGAAGGGATGTTGAAGTTGGTGAAAAGGGAGTATGAGCTCCAGAACCAGAAGGACCATGATATGGAGCATTTGCCAAAGTGGAGGTGTTAGAAGATATGGGAGGTGGTATGGATGCACCTGTTAAGCAACCGCTGGTCCCAGATGGAAAGGATGTGGTTATATTATTCATATGAGCAGGCATTTGAGAGTAGGGATGATTACTGTTGTTGTTAAGTAGACCACCGGATAAAGGATTAATTGCAGGATTTGTGTTTCCCGGAGGAAAACCTGCAGCAGCTACGGCCGCCATTGCTGCTGCAACTGCTGGGTGAGATTGTGCAAGACCAGATAGGAAAGCTGGGTTATTAGGTCCTGGAATTCCAGGAAGGGATGACTGAACACCAGGAATACTCGAATTGCCTGAAGCACTGCTGTTAGTACATGGGGGAGTGATTGAACTACTCATTTGTGGTAGAAAAGGATTAGGAGGTAGAAGCATATTGTTAGGACCATTATTGTTTAAAGCAGGAAGTCCACCACTTAGACTGTTAATTCCCGTACATGGTGGTGCATTGAGTCCACCAAGGCTAGTTAAAGATGGTGTAGCTTGAGAACCTCCTCTCGAACCACTCATAGGTAAAGTATCGGATGGCAACTGCCCCAATGATGGTGGGACTAGATTGTGGGGAAATGCATTATTTAAACCCCCAGATCCGGAATTCATTAACAGCTGCTGTTGTTGTTGCATAGTCTGTAATAAGAAGTGAAAAGACTTTTTCAAAACGCTGATTGTATAAAGGATGTAATTAAAATCATAAAAACTGAAACGGTACAAAGGAAACAAAAAGAGTAGGAGGGGAGTGACACTCGTTGATTGCAACACTTATGGGAACTACAAATCTCACTTTAATATATATATCCATGTTGTAACATATGGTATTTCCGAATATGAATAAGGAATTATTTCAGGCACCGAGGACTAAAAACTTCTACAATGCTAATCCGCATAGAAATATATCAGTTCGATTTACCATATTTCGAAATGCCGCACGTGAAATAAGACAAAACAGAATGGCGCTTAGGATACAGGAGAAAGAACAGGGGACTGGATGAGGATTAATGATGTTTCGAATTTCACCAATATGGTGAATAAAATTGGAAATAAGATGAAACATTACTCATCAGCCACTTTCATCCTTACATATTTGGTGATTAGTTACAAATGCTGTGAGGGATAATGATACTACTTAGTTGCCAAAGTTTGGGAGATGAAATGGGGTTTGGACCAATTGGAATGTTGACGGCAATCATGTGACCATGCAAATGAGTAGCAGTTCGACAATTCCGAAACATATAATCAGGAGTCTTTAACTACTGATTCTCAGCAACCCTTGATTCACAACTTTTATAAAGTTATTTTGAACCTCTCACTAAATAACTTTTGAAAATACCATATTGAAAAATATCGTATGTTAACTCATAAGGGTTTCAAAATATCACTGTTGATTTAATTAACTCAAAGTACTGTAGGAAGCAGTTTAGTTGACTGTTAACCTGGAAACACGAAAGCTTTATCTCACTACTTTTCAAAAAAAGGACAAACAGAAATTTCTACGTAAGTATTGTTACAAATTAACATATCATAAATAGATGTTGAGAAGCCACTAGCTGACTGACAGATAGACGCAGAACATAGCATAGGAGTGCATCAGTTTTAGTTGCAATAATCTGAGAAAGCAGACCTAATAAAAGAAAGGTGTTGTAACACCTTTCAGAATATCAGTGAACGGACTCATGAACTGAAGCCTTGTTATAAATAAGATTAAAACTTATCCGACTTAACCCTATTATACTTCACATTGATTATGAAAGACGACTTAAAATGCGCAATATATATTCTATACCATAACGAACTGCTATATGCTGTACACGTAACTGGATGGCCATTAGGATATCGTGAATGCACTAAAGACGATTTCAGCTGGCAAATAAAAGCGTTCTTTAACGTATATATATATATATATATGTATATATATATATATATATATATTGAATTCTTCTGGCATTTAAACCTTTGGATCAACTTCCCAAATAAGTGAAGAGATCAAGACTTTTAGTAATTCCACTTTTTATCCTTAAGTCAAGAGTTCATACAAGTTAATCGTATAGCATCATAATAATTTTCATAGATGCAACCTGGATGTTAACCGTATTCAGATTTTTATTGAATTTTCTGAAAACTTCACAGATTTCACCCAAAAGGACTACATCACCGGTAAGGAAATCAGGGAAACCTTGTCTACATAGAAGGTCGACTCTGTAAACGTTGGAACTGCAAACATAAAACATAAATATAGCAATAACTTGATAAACTATGCACTTTTAGTTATAGCGTTTAGATAAAAATGTAGAGGCTCCTACATTACATATGTCGTTCTGAAATGTAACAATTAGACTCTAACCGTAATTCTCAGAAATCATATATATTCGTCTCGTGATCCATACTTCAAGATATTATTCAGTGACATCTGTTCACTATAGCCAAACAAAGCAACCTTAGAAAGGAGACGAAACCATTCCTCAATCCTAAGAGAAACTTATATCTTCCATTGAGTACATTGATGAAAGAAAAGAAATCTGTATGATACAGACGAACAAGAAGAAAGTTTAGTTCGAAAATCATACACAACAAAATTTCAGTTTGGAAGGAAATTAATCGTAAGCATATTAATTTTAAACAATGAATTCACACTGACTTTAAGGCATTATCAGGGATAAGTAAAATCATAAACGAATAAATGTTATGCTATATAATATATATATATATTTCAGTCATTAAAATAAAGATAGAAGAATACTTGCTCACCTTAAAGAAGTCCATTTGATCGAATGGAGAACCAAGAGCCCCATTAAGAAACTTTGGGCCTTTAGAATCATCTAGCTGTGGCTAAATACGGTCAAGTGACTAACACTTAGCTTACCCCTATAATGCTACTAAGTTCTGACAGACTTATTTGTTTCGCACGATCAACTGCTGCAGCAACTTGAGATTGATGCTAAGAAAAATAATTGACTTGTAATCCAACAAACCTCTTGTGATAAAAACGGAATGACCTGTACTAGTATTGCATTCAGGCGCTTTGCGATCTCCATCTGCAAAAGTTTATGAATCAAAATGTAACCAACCTGTTTATGCATTTCAACATTTAGTCCGTAGGTAATCTCATAGTAAAGTAAGTAGTGTCGCTGCAATTCAGCTTTTTCTTGCGAGGTCTTCTCATACTCACACTTCAAACTGCAGAAAATATATGATAACCGATTCCATACCTATGATACTGAGATTGTAAATTCAGAAGCTCATCCTTAATCTTGTCACAAGCTTCAGGGACAGAAAATTTTGCATGTTGATTGCTTTGAGAAGATGACTTGACAAGTAACATTCAATCAAATAAAACAACTTACTGAAATTCGGGAAGGATACATTAAAAAGGGATAAAATATCAACTTTTAATGATTAAGTACATAAGACCCATCAAAAACCACCACCGACAGCACGGACAACCAGAAGTGGCGGGCACTATTTCAATAATATATCGCCCCACCGTGAGATGAATAAACAAATGGAAATAGGAAAAGATATTACTTAATGTATATGTTTTGCAAGCTGTATCTGTCGATTTTCTCAGGTACTTAGGCATTTAAAGACAATACTGTTTTAGGAAAAGTCACAAGGTAGGATAGTCATGGTAACACATCATAGACGTCTCGCAAATTAAATGCAGCTTCCGTAGGATGTGTCAACGTTTTAGCCTATTACTCACAAGTACACGCACTATTAGTTCGGTTCAAAATGTCACAAGGTAGCAGTTAAGGCGTAATTCCTGAAAGTACGCCGCTTATTTACACGAGGTTTTCTGTTGATGAGAGATTTTGACATCATAGGGTGTAGGATATTATTGTCTCGTTGCATTCGGTAATTTAAAGATTCTCATTGTGGCAGGCTCATTATTTATAGCTTTCCGGTGTTAGGTTAAAATGTTGGCGCATTTCTGTATGACTAGTTAACAGATTGCTCCCACAAACTAAAGTCAAAAAAACCTCTACCATGTACATCCACCATGAAAACAAATTTATGTAATTTAAATAATTCTTATCCATGCCTGTACAACTGGTGTGTTCCTACGTAGACAGGAATAAATTTGTTTTTATTATGCTATAATTCACAGAAAATTGAAGTCTTTTAGGACAGTTAACTTGTTGATTGTATTCCTGTGCTATTTTTCTCCTTAATACACAGATGCGTAATATGGTGGTATCGTATTATAGTTACTTGCTAAACTCAGTCCTCACAGCCGCAGGAACACCTCAGAGTTCTGAGGCGTTGAATTAATCATCTTAATATTCACTTGGGTCCTGGCAGCTTCATTTTCGAGATGATTTCAAGAGGCCAGACGTCTTTTCTTGGTCTTATGGTACAGTTGCTCGCACTAAGTGTCACTGACACTGCTCACTGACACCGATGGTCTGTACACAAAGTGGAGATGACAAACTGTTTTCTAAATTTTAAATACTGACGATAAGTATGATACAAATGTGCTCGTACCTTAGGAATACATATTCCTACATATTCCCCACAATCTTGAATGTATGAATGTTTGTGCACATATGCCTACTTGAATTTGTACTGGTTTCTGATTAGATTCACTTATTTGGACTTACGCTTCACGAATGCCTCCACCGATAGAGTGTATAACAATTTTCTCGAAAATATAAGGTCACTTCAGTTTGTTACTGCAGTGGTAACACCCAATGGTATGCTGCAGACACAGCGATTTTTGTCCACAAGTTATCAGAACTTTCATTACCATTAAAACTCAGGAGTTGATTACTGAAAGCTGAACCCTCCAAATGGAGGTTACCAGCCTCTTAAAACGCTTCCGAAACTTGTGTATCCGTATGGCAATATGTATTAAAGTGCTGAGATATCTGAGCTGTTCAGCACACACTTTCCTGGACTGTTTACTGCGGAGAACAATGGCGCCGTTTACTGTCCTCGCAGAAAGGTTATATGTTTTGGTGACGGTTTTTAATACCCAAGAGGTCGACAAAGCTATTGTCACTTCCAAGTTTTCTAACAAATCTGGCTCGGACTATATATCATCCGTCCAACCATAAAATGGTGATAGCAACATAAATTTCGTTCTCCTGAAGCTGTTCTCGGTCTGAATAGATAATGGAACATGGACCACCCCCTGGAAGAAACATTTGTGGCGTTTTTTTCACAAAAGCTAGTCTATATCTGTTACTAATAGTCTCCACCCCAACAGAATCTGGTCAATACGTCTTCGTGTATTGGTTAATACTGTAAAGCGCCAAATCATCCAGTATGTATTTTTCAGCGAATTACTTTCCCCCCTAGTAGGATTTACGAACTAAAAGTTAGCACGTCGCTTGCTAGTTAGATTATTTTGACCACAAAACCAAACGCGTAGGTAATGGATACCCCGCGGCGACACATTTCTTCGCTATAGGTAAGGCCGTCAATGAAGTTCCGCGTATTAGACTTTCTTCTATGAAATAAACGGGAAGAGCCGCATCTAAATAAGTGAACATGACATCTTGTCAGAATTAACCATTATTATTCTGTAAATAAGCCGGTAACTGACTGTGGCAGAGGACAGAGGCGCAAACGGCTTGTAGAGAGATTGAGCACCTTAAGGCCACCTGTGCATATCGTGACTGGTAGATTTTCCTTCTGAGCAGGCGGTGCAGCAAATAAGTATTTTGTGTTGCTGAGTTGGGCTTTGAAATGACAACAGCAAAATCAGATAGAAACTATTTTTCGGCTTAAGGGAACAAATTAATATTTGCGAATATCGCAGATGTGATACACATTGTCACCACTCGTGAAATGAATATGACTTGGTAACTTAATCAGGAAAGTACAGGGTTTGAAGATTCATATTTTTCGGGGGTTGCAACCGACAGATGAGAGAGATAGTCGTATGATGTTTGCCTTTTAGTAGAGAGACTGTGCTAGATGCATCATAAGTTCGGCTTTTGTTAAAATTTACCATGGAATGTTTGAATGATTAATCTGTGGAGTTCTCAAAAATAAACTTCTCCAACTTTTACTACTATGTGATAAATGAACATATTGTACATTACTTTGTTTTAACCAGAATCTCAATACTTTGTACTTCACCTCGTGGTTTGAATAAAAATATAGTTCTAAATAAATAAATAAATAAATTTATTCTCATAGTACAGTTTACAGGCATCATCATATTGTTACAGAAATAGAACCATATAATTCAATCACAATTTACAGGCAGTAGCAAGATATTCTTTACATGTTCGCTGGAGATTATACATACACTTGATAAATGTTAATCCCAGCAGTATAAAACAGCCTTTTCACTTATATACAATCATTTCTGTGCACAGTTGGAAATATCTGCTAGATTGTCAGTGAGCGCAACACATCAGGAAATACAGAAGTATTGTCTCGTCTTCGCATTAACAAAAAAACCAGGTCTTTGGTGGATGGATTATAAGTGCCTGGGAAAAAAATAAAGCTTGAAGTCAATTTTCATACATAACTTTGTTGTGTGCAGAATCCTTGAATTATAGTTCATTGATGTGTTATTTTGAAATCAGTGATATGTTTATCTCATTTGATCTGCAATGTCATTGTTGGGAGTAAATACATAAGCTTCAGACGCATTAATTATTGGATTTCTTCTGCCTACAACTCTCCGTCTTCTCCACCATCTCAACTACCATCGGCCAATTCTAATTACCTATCTTCTATTGCAAAATTTCGCAGGGACGCCGTAATTCCTCCCTACGTTACCTTGGTCAACCTCTGGCAATATCGACATTGGAGAATTAAGATTGGAGCAGTCTTCTTACAATACTTCTGGAGTCTGTTAAGTTAATTGTGGATTTTGGACCTCGTAATAACCCAACTAACAAATTTTAATATATTCCCCCAGTAACTTTACAGATTTCGTATTTTTTATTTCTATTCGAATCCGGGATATTAAGCTAGCTAAGTCTAAGGCCCGCCACAATAATTGGTGAGCCCGTTTCGAATTGTTTTCTGTATTTCGGCCCGTTTTGAACATTTTTGGTTGCTATTTTGGCCCTTTATATTCGCATTACTATCATTTTTGTTATCGCACCTTTTACTATTTGTGCATATCTCTATACTTAATCATTTTTGATAATGGCTCCACTCACACGTACGACTATTCCGGCAGAACTTAAAAAAGGCGAAGAGACACAGAACTCTTCTGTTAACGCTTTGCCTGATTTAAGATTACCTCAATTTGATCTGGCCGAACCACGTGTCTGGTTCACAGTCATCGAACAGTTATTTGCAGCTCAGGGTATAACATCGCAGATTGCCAAGTATGGTTGTGTACTAGCAGCCATACCCACTGAAGTACTTCGTGAAGTTATCGACGTCACAGACAGTGAACCTTCAGATAACCAATATGACAAACTAAAAGCTGCACTTATCCAGCGAACCACCGTCTCAGATGAGAAACGTATACAACAACTACTTACTGCGTGTGAGTTAGGTACAAAAACGCCATCTCAACTACTTAGACACATGCGTCAGTTGATCGGATCATGCAAAGTAGATGAGTTAATCCTACGTCAAATGTTTTTGCAACGTTTACCACAAAATGTTCAACAAATCCTAACGATATCTTCTAGGACTACTGACCTTGAAGAACTAGCAAAGATGGCAGATGGTATCTTGGATGTATTATCAAGTACGGGCATAAATAGTGTGTCTACATAGGCAGTACCACCAGTTCCTTCCACAGTTATGAAGGACACACCAATGTTTTGGTTCTTTTCTCAGTTATCATCACAAATGCAAGACTTAAGACTGGAAGTGTCTGAGCTACGAGCACAACGAAACCAGTCACATAGGGCGTCCAAACAACGGCGATCAAGATCTAGACGACGTTATAGAACACCTCAAAGCCGTAATGTTTGTTGGTATCACAGGAGGTATGGGCATAATGCCCTGAAGTGTGTTAGACCGTGCATATACAACAATGATAACTCAGCTCAGGGAAACTCCCCAGCCAGACAGTATTGGCGACGGCTGTTACTTGCAATGACCCCAGTCGCCTTTTCTATGTGAGGGATTTGACTACCGGCACGTTATTCCTGGTAGACACAGGCGCCGAAGTCAGTGTTATCCCCCCTCACTATCCAGGCGACCAGTCAAGATACCGGGGAAGCTTTCACTCCGTGCTGCCAATCAAACCAACATACAGACGTATGGCGAACAGTCAATGATTTTAAACTTGGGACTACGCCGACGTTTTACACGGATCTTCATAGCAGCTGACGTACGTCACGCCATACTAGGTGCAGACTTCTTAAGTCATTTCAATCTGTTAGTCAACATCAACAAGAAAAAACTGATTGACAACAACACCCAACTCAAGATCCACGGTATTACATGCGATTATTCTGTTCATAGTATCTGCATAGAAAAGCCAGAGAGTGAAATGTTTTCCAATTTATTACAACGTTTTCCTAAAATCCTTAAGCC